GGAGGAGGAGGAGGAGGCGGGGAAGGAGGAGGAGTAGGAGGATCGTGGCGAGCGAGATGGAGGAGGAGGAGGAGGAGGAGGAGGAGGAGGAGGAGGAGGAGGAGGAGGAGGAGGGGGCCAGAGTCTCTCCTCCTGCGCCCCTTGTGCCCCCCCGGCAGGCACGGGCAGCTGCACCCGGCGACCTGCGAGGGCGTCTGGCTCACGCTCCACGGGCCCCGCGTGGGCTGGTGCCTGCCGCGCCAGGCCGCCCCGGCGGGGCCGCCTGCCGCGGCCCGGAGCGACGGGCCGGCCGGAGGCCCCGACGGCGGCGCGCTGGGGAGGCTGCTGGCGGAGTCGCGCCACGGCGAGCGGAGGAGAAACAGCTGCCCAGGAGGTTCCACGTGTGGCTCCAGCCTCAAGGTCGGGCCTGTCCCTCTACAGGGGGAGTGTTCGGAAGCAGTAGTAAGGAAATAGTATGGGGACGACGTTTTTTTGTTTGTAATACCATTTTTGATAATGTTTGAACATTTTCTGGCCATCTTTCATGCTTCGGTCCAAGCTCCCCCTGCAGGGGGACAGGCCCGACCGAACTCCAGCGACGCGTGGTTCCAGCTCCGCGCGGGTCTCTTGGCTCGGCGCCGGCGGCGCCTCCACCGCCGCCCCTGGCGCGCCCCTGGCGCGCCGGGGGCGGGGGCAGCCGGCTCTGACTCTGTGGAGGAGCTGGCCAGCTGCATAAAAAGCATAGCTTCTCGGGGCTCCGCGCTGAGTTCTCGGGTGGGCGTTGGGCCCCCCTCCTTGGCGCGCGCAGGTCAGGAGGGGAACAAAAGCACACAGACACAATGAATCGTCGATCCCCCAGGAAAAGATGGGAAAGTATGGGAAGTGGGGGGGAAGACGAAAACCCAGAACATATGGGAGAATATGGGGAATCCTTTTATTTGTGTGTATTTATTTGTGTGTCCCAGGGCCCCTTCACTCAGGGCCCGGCGCCGATCCAAGAACTCCGCGCGGAGAGCCCCGACAGTTTATGTTCATATGCAGATAAGTTTCCCTGAGACGCCCGGGTGGAACACGGAGGACGTACCTGGTCGAAGCGTCTGGGTCGATACCATGCGTGCATGGGCCAACACGTGGGCCGTCTTGGGGCTCTGTGCTGAGCTCCGTGTTGGGGTCCTCTTCCTCCTCCTCCTCCTCGCGCGATTGGTTGCCGATTTGAAGGCGTGGGGTCCTCCCCTTGTGCGTGGAGTGCGCCAGGGCCCATCGCCGATCCAAGAAGTCTGCGTGGAGCTCCGAAGTTTATGTTGATCGGCGGCCAACCCTGGGCGGAAGCCAGAGAGGGCGATTCTTCTCAGAAGGCTCGGAGGGCGTCTGGCCTTCTGAGACGGTCTCTAAGCCTCCTCCGAAGACGCAGACGGCTCTTCAGAAGGCAGGAGGACTTCTAAGAAGCCCCGCCGCCTTCTGAGGTGGCCTGGCCCCTCCCCCCCAGGCGCGCCTTCGAGTTTGTGGCCGTCTTGAGGCTCCGTGTTGAGCTCCATGTTGGGGTCGTCATCATCATCATCATCATCATCATCGTCATCATCATCATCATCAGCAGCAGCAGCATCATCATCATCAGCATCATCATCATCATCATCATCATTAGCATCATCATCATCATCACCACCATCATCAGCATCATTATCATTATCATCATCATCAGCATCATCATCAGCATCATCATCATCACCATCACCATCACCATCACCATCACCATCATCATCATCATCATCATCATCATCCTCCTCCTCCTCCTCCTCCTCCTCCTCCTTGTCCTCTTCCTCGCGCATTGGGCCGTGGATTTGAAGGCGTGGGGGCCGCGCAGCTCTTCTTTCTCCTCCGCCAGGCCCGAGCGCGGGACGCCCATGTGCTCGGTCTCGCTCTTGCGTGTGCACTCCTTTCTCGGCGGGGACTATCCAGGAGCGTCCCGGATCGTCCGGCGGAAAAGCCACGCACGAAAGCGAAACAAGCACAGGGAATGGACGTCCGAGCGATGGCCAGTGTGGCCAAGAGGCCCTCCCCGCGCGAGGGCCCTCCCCGCGGGCCGTGCGGGCCCCCGGGCCCCCCCCCCCCCCCCCCCCCCCCCCCCCCACCCCCCCAACCAGACGCCTCCGAGTGCCTGGCGATTCCCACCGCGGGTGGGGAAGCAGAGGCTGCACGTTTGTGTGGGAGACGACGGAAGAGTGAGGGGGCCAGCCTACATCCACTCACAAGCATCCTCAGCCAATACGCCCGCACCGCAACAGCACGACGACAAGTGTGACCAGCAGCACCGCCTCCTATCATCTCACCCTACTCTCCTCCGCCCCCCTCACGTCCTCTCTTCCTATTTCCGACCTCTCCTCCTCCTCCTCCTCCTCCTCCTCCTCCGCCTCCTCTCCCTCCTCCCTCTCCTCCCCCTCCTCCCCCTCCTCCTCCTTCTCCCGATTGCGCCGACACTGGCGCGTAGGCTGCCCGCGTAAGGTCGCGCGCGAGCGCCTTCGTTTCCAGTGTGTTGTGCAGCGCTGGCGGCCCGCGTGAGCCGCGGCGTGAAGTCGCCATGCCATCTCGCGCGAGGCCCGTTTCTTTGCGCCGCCCAGGTGGATTTGGCCGTCCAGCCGTGTGTATTGCCAGCCTTCTGGCATGCTTTCGAGGTGTCTAGGCGTTCGATCATGGACCCCTTGCTCAGCGCGACCATCCAGCTTTTCCGCCGGAGACCACCGGAAACCACCGAAGACCGCCGAAGACCGCCGAAGACCGCCAGTGACTGTCAGAAGACCGCCGAAGACCGCTGGAAACCGATGGGAAGCAGGGGGTCTTCGGCTGTCCCATTGCAACTTCAGCGCGGAGAGCGCTAGGCATCTGGGTCCACAATGTGGCCGCCACATTCCATCATAGCTGCATGGTGGGCCGCGCGCGACAGCATAAAAAGTCCACGCCTTGCGTCAGTTACTGTCCTCACTTCCCTCCGGTCCATGGGCGAACGCGTAGTTCGCAGCTTTCGTTCCCCCTCCAGGCGAGGTGGCGTGGCTGAGCGTCACGCTCCGCCTCGTCGGCGCCGCCGTGCCCCCACCGGAGGGACCCGCGGGCGGGCCGGAGGCGCGGGAGGGCGTCGCGGAGGAGAGGGCCGCCGACGAGGACATCTTGGCACGGGAGGGCTCGTCCCAGGAGGCTCGCAGGGGAAGGGGCGGCAGACCCCTCCGAGCCGGGACGAAATCGCGGCGGGAGGCTTCTCTCTTCCTTCTCGGCCTCTGGCACTGGAGGGCCTCTGCCGGGCCCCGGGGCTGTGAACCACATGGCTCCGCAGGGAAAAGAAGCGGCCTCGGGGAGAAGGGGTCGAGACCCCTTGGGGGCCTGGGACCCTGACCTTCCAGGAGGGCTAAAACAATAGCACCAGGACGTCGACGTCCTGACTCCCGTCGAGGCTTGAGGCAGTCCAGATAGATCTATAGGTCTGGAGTGCTATTTTTTAGCACTCTGGAAGGTCAGGGGCATGTTTTGAGGCATCGCTCGGACGTGTGCATTTTTCCTTCGGCGAGGACCATCGAGGAGCATCCTTGATGATTTGGCGAAAAAACCACGCACGAAACCGAAACAACACAGGGAATGGACGTCCGAGCGATGGCCAGGGGAGGGAGGGATGCGGTCAGGGTTTGTGGCTTCGCCTCGTGCTCCGCCGCTCCTGGCCTCGCCACGCCTCGGCCGCGGCACGCGGACCACTCGGGCGAGGAGAGCCATGCACACGCACCGCTCCCGACGACGCCCACCCTTGACCCAGGATCAGTGCATATATGGTCCCGGGCTCCGGGCCCACGGGCCCCCCCCCTCCCCCAGATGGCATGGTCCCAGGGCTCCTCGGGCCCCCCCCCTCAGATGGGATGGGGGGACGACGACGACGACGACGACGACGACGACGACGACGACGACGACGACGACGACGACGCCGACGACGACGACGACGTCGTCGTCGATGTCGTCAACAGGGGGGCCACCACCCCCACAGGGGGAGGGCCACCACGCCACGCCCACAGGGGGGGGGGGGGGGCAATCGGCAGGGTGGGGGGGGGGGGGGGCGATGGCATTAGCATTGGGGGAAGGGGCCAAGCCCTGGACCTAATATGTATTTATATTTTATTATATATATATGTATAGATGTATATATATATATATATATATTATTATATATCTTTATACATCTATTCATATATATATATATATATATAACCTTCCTGGCCAAGGCAGGAGGTCTTCCTGGTCAAGGTGGGAGGGCGTATGCACCGATCCTGGGCCCAGGATGGTCCTGGCCAGAGCCCCGCGCAGCGGAGCGGCACGCTGTCCGCTTGCTGGTAGGGTCAAGTCGGGCCTGTCCCTCCCTCTACAGGGGGAATATTCAAAAATAGTCAAAAAATAGTGTGGGGCTTATTTTTTGAGTATTTTTTGGGCCAATTTGGAGTAATTTTGAGTATTTTTTATTTTTCGTCGAGAGTCCCCCAGTAGGGGGACAGGCCCGACTTCATGGTAGGGCATAGCGTGTCGGTGGGGGAATGCAGAGGGGGAGTGTCAAGTTAGGTGCGCTCGCGTCAACATCTGACATCCTACCCCTCCCTCCCATCCCTTACCATGGCGCTGATTTTCTCTATCCGCGGACGCGTGTCGTAGCGGACCTGTGGCTCCGCGCGCGTGTGCGTAGTGGGTGGTGGTGCGCGTGCGTGCGTGCGTGTGTGCGTGGTTGTGGTTGTTTTGGTGGTGGTGGTGAGTATGTGTGTGTGTGTGCGTGTGTGCGCGTGTGCTGTGGTGTGACGTGGTGTGGCGTCTTGGTGGTTTGGTGGTGGGCCAGGTGCGTACGTGCGTGATGGCGGTGGTGGTGGTGGCGGTGGTGGTGGTTGTGTGTGTGTGTGTCTGTGTGTGTGCGTGTGTGTGCGTGTGTGTATGTGTGTGTTTGTGTGTGTGTGTGTGTTTGTGTGTGTGTGTGTGTGCGTGCGTGCGTGCATGCGTGCGTGCGTGCGTGCGTGCGTGCGTGCGTGCGTGCGTGCGTGCGTGCGTGTGTGTCTGTGTGTGCGCGCGTGTGATGTGGTGTGACGCGGTGTAGCGTGGTGGTGGTGGGTGGGGTAGTGCGGTGGTGGTGGCGGTGCGCGGTGGTGTGCGCGTGCGTGCGTGCGTGCGTTGGTGGGTGGAAGTGGCGGTGGGTGTGCGTGCGGCGGGGCGGGGCGTGGTGCGGCGCGGTGGTGGCGGGCGGATGGGCGCGCGAGAAAGAGGCCCGCGCTGGGGCGAGAACGCCAGCCTGAACGACGGAGGCAAAACACCGATCCGAAAATGAGGCCCACGCTGCAGCAGGAGCACGATTCGGAACGATTCGGGAGCAGAAATGAGGCCGGCGCCTCAGCGAGAGCAGAATTTTGAAAAAAACGCAGGCGAAACCCAAATCCGGGGGATTCGTGTGTGTGTGTGTTTTGTGTGTGTGTGTGTGTCCTGTGTGTGTAAAAAAGTACGAGGGGGGGGGGGGGCGAATTCGCACAAGACGTCATCAGGGGAAGAGGGGGAATAGTATTCAGATTGAGAAGTTGTAGAAGGGGCGGGCCAAGGGGGGGAATGCAGAGGGGTCTGGCCTTCTCGTAGGGCTCGGAAGGCAGGTTCCCAATCCTTCCCCGAGCACGTGGGAAGCGCATCAGAAGGCACACGGGGCTGCTGAGAAGCCCCGCCTCCCTCTGAGAAGGCCCGCCCCCTCGCACTCCCCCCCGGGGCTCGCCGCGGAGAGAGCGGGCTCGCACCTCCCCCTCTGGGCTTATGTCGGGCGTGTCCCCCCTACAGGGGGATGTTCGACGAAAAACAAAAAGTACCCCAACCATCGTAAACAATTATCCCAGGGCGACCCTACCGAGGAGTTGGAGCCCCGAGGAGAGCAAAATGAGTAGTAACGGTAAACGCCGTCCTCCTCCTTTTCCTCATTGTCGCAGTTGTAGCAGTAGCGGTAGCAGTGGCGGTAGTAGTAGTAGTAGTAGTAGTAGTAGTAGTAGTAGTAGTAGTAGTAGTAGTAGTAGTAGTAGTAGTAGTAGTAGTAGTAGTAGTAGTAGCAGTCGTAGTCGTAGTCGTAGTCGTAGTCGTAGTCGTAGTAGAGTTCGTAGGTCGTAGTTCGTAGTTCGTAGTCGTTGAGTCGTAGTTAGTTGTAGTAGTAGTGTAGTAGTAGTAGCAGTGTAGTAGTAGTAGTTGTAGTCGTAGTAGTTAGTGTAGTAGTTGTTGTAGTAGTTTAGTAGTAGTCGTAGTCGTAGTCGTAGTTGTAGTAGTAGTCCGTTGTCGAAGGCGTTAGTCGTAGTCGTAAGTCGTCTAGTAGTAGTAGTTGTAGTAGTAGTAGTAGTAGTAGTAGTAGTATGTGTAGTAGTAGTAGAGTTGTAGAAGTAGATAGGGGTAGTAGTAGTAGTAGTTGGTTCAGTAGTATAGTAGTAGTAGCAGTCGTAGTCGTAGTCGTAGTCGTAGTAGTAGTAGTAGTAGTAGTAGTAGTAGTAGTAGTAGTAGCAGTAGTAGAAGTAGTAGTAGTAGTCGTAGTAGTAGTCGTAGTAGTAGTAGTAGTAGTAGTAGTAGTAGTAGTACAGCCTTATACCTACAGCTACATCCAGATCTACATCTAGACCTACATGCTATGCTGCGCTATGCTATGCTATGCTATGCTATGGTAGGATATGCTAGGCTGCGCTATGTTATGCTAGGCTATGCTATGCTATGCTACGCTGCGCTATGCTATGCTATGCTATGCTGCGCTATGCTATGCTGTGCTATGATATGCTGTGCTATGCTATTCTATGCTAGGCTATGCTATGATATGCTATGCTGCGCTATGCAATGCTATGCTATGCAATGCTATGCTATGCTATGCTGCGCTATGCTATTATATGCTATGCTATGCCATGCCATGCTATGCTATGCTATGCTATGCTATGATATGATATGCTGCGCTATGCTATGCTATGCTATGCGATGCGATGCGATGCTATGCTGCGCTGTGATATGCTAAGATGAACTATGCTATGCTATGATATGATATCATATGTTATGCTATGCTATGCTATGCTATGTTATGCTATGATAATGCTGCGCTGCGCTAAGCCAAGCTAAGCTAGGCTAAGCTAAGCAAAGCGAAGCTAAGCTAGGCTAGGCTAGGCTAGCCTAAGCTAAGCTAAGCTAAGCTAAGCTAGGCTACGCTAGGCTAAGCTAAGATGACGTAAGCAAAGCTAAGCTACGGGGACGTAACTGGGGGAATCGCGGGGGCGGATACTGGGGGAACCGCCCGGGGCGCTTTCCACTGCCCGGCCCCTTTAAGCCCAGAGAGTAAGAACCCTTCTAGGCAGAGCCTAGGTAGGGAAATGGTCAAAAAGTAGTCTGGGGACTATTTCTTTAATATGTTTTTGCAATTTTGGTGAATTGTTGAAGTATTTTTAATTTTTCGTCGAAAATCCCCCTGTAGGGGGACAGGCCCGACTTGACCCTGGGCTCGCCGCCGAGAGAACTCTTAGAGCTCTCAGACCGGCGCTGGGCCCTCTCGTCGCCACGGTTGGGTGCGCCTCGAACAGTTGGGCCGCTTCGACCCCTGGGAGGGAGTCTGGGAGGACGTCGGATCCCAGGGAGGGGCGGGGCGCCAGTCAGTCGAGGAGTGGCAGACGGAAGCACAGATCTTCGGAGCTCGGCGCAGCTCTCCCGGATCGGCGCCGGAGGCGCCCCTGGCGGCGCCTCCGGCGCCGCGCCCGGCGCGCTCTGCGCACCAGGGGCGGGGGGGGGGGCCAGCTCAGGGGCAACGATGGGGGGGGAGGCATAGGGGGGGATGCATCGACCCCCACTCGCCCATTGATCGCCGATAGGGGTCTGATAGCACCAACCCGCCCAGGAAGGTGCGGATTCACTAGCGGGGGCCTACCACCGATCTGTCGACGATGCATCGCCGATTCCAGGTCGATACATCCCCCCCAATGCCAGTGCCCCCCTATCGTTGCCCCTCACCAGCCCCGGTCCAAGAAACTCCGTGCGGACCTACCGAAAGTTATGGTCGTGCCGCTTGCTCTTCCTCCAGAGGCGCTCGAGCTCGACGAGGGCGCCGCCGCCAGGCCGGCGGCCTCTGCCGGGCGCAGGGTGTGCATGGTGGCGCACGTCCTCGGCAGGCGCTTCGAGTGCGAAGTGCCAGCCGCGGGCTTGAGCCTCGCGGCTCCCGAGCAGCCAGTCGAGTTCAAGGCCCCGGGGGACGCTGGCTACGGTCGGGAACTTTGCGACGCGCTATCCACCTCCGGGGCCCCAGGCGTCGACGTCTCCGGTTTTCCCAAGCCTCCTGCCCCGCGGAGCGGAGCGACACGCGAGCCGCTGGCATGGCATAGCGTGTCGGCAGGGCCGCCGCAGCGACGCGACACGCCATCCAAAGTTCCTGACGGTAGCTCTGCACGGGCGCTGAAGCTGTCCAGGCAGCCTCCGCCCTGGCCAGGAGCCCCAGTCCCAGAAGTGCGCTATCCTGAGTTTCCGCTACGCTGGCGTGACCCCAACATACTTAATACTATATATGTGCGTCGCCCCCCACAGGGGCGACGCGCGCACCGAGAAATCTTGCGGTATATGCGTCGTGGCGGGCGCTGTCTGGCCACACCGCTCGGGAAACGATGCACTACATTAAGATGGGCATGTTTGGGTCGGACGCGCGCCTCCAAGGAGAACGTATATGGCACTGGCATTTGGAGTTTGATAGACCTCCTACCATGACACGTCGATTGGTGAATTGGCCATTTTCGGTTCGCGAGAGGGCGTCGCAGCCGTTATTTTTGCGGGTCCAGGTCCGTCGGTTTCGGTTGGAGGCCGCTTTCATTAAAAGGGAGATGTTCTAGAGAGAGGTTTGTCCACCGCCGATGTACCAGCTTCCATGCCAGCCTCGTCCCGGATAGCTCGCAGAGAGCCAAAAGCGCTTCAGACTCAGAAGCCGGAGCCGCAGGGTAGCCCCGCAGGTCGTTCTGGCTTCCGGGAACAAATCCCCGCCGCGAGTTGTTTGAGCTTTTCTGGCGGGTCCCGAGAAGCCTTCTCTAAGCGTTTCTCAATACGCGTGGCCGGAAGCTCTCCAGAGGGTCCTTCGGAAGCTCTCTCCAGGTCCTCCCAGAGTTCTTCGCCAGGCCTTTCCACGGCCTTCGGGCGCCCTGCTATCCGGGTTTGGGACTCCACGAGTGTACCAGCTTCCACGCCAGCCAGCGTTCTTCGAGTCGCCGCCCCCCAGACCTCGCTGGTTTCTCCTCATGAGCAGCCCGTCGACGGTGCTGGGGCCCAGAAGACCCCCGCCACCCCCCAGCGCTGTTCATAGAATGCGGAATGGAATGCGGGAAACTGCATTGAGCATACACTTGAGCTCGACACGGATTTCCTGCACCGCTCCTGAGCCGAGTGTGGAATTGTCCCAGCCTCCGTGCCAGTGTGTACCCTCAGCTTTGAGCCACCGCCCCCGAGACTCACCGCCCACCAAACCACCCAAAACCAACCCGAAGACCCAAATTTGCTCTCCATTTTCAGTGGGGGGCGCGCGGGGAACATCGAACAACAACATAGAGAGAGCCCGTACCCCCCCAACCTTCAATTCGGGTTTTCGGTTTGGGTTGGGGTGGTCTGGTAGGTAGTCAGAGACCTCCCCCCTTCCCCAGGGCCAGTTTTTCGTCATCTGCAGTTTTTTCCCCAACCCTCCCTTGGTTGGGTACTCGTTTTGAATAGAGCACTCTGGTCGCCCCGTCCTCCCGCCCATCTCCCTCCTGCCTCCTACCTCCTCCTCGCGGCGCCCTCTGGGGGGCTGCGATCTGCGCATCTGTCGCCTCCTGCGATCTTGAGCAACTGTCGGCACTTTCGTGGGCTCCTGGGAGGCCCAGCGGAGTTGGGGTACACGCAGATCGCGTCGGGACCTTGCGGGGGGAGCTGCCAACTGTGCAACTGTCGGCACTTTCGTGGGCTCCTGGGAGGCCCAGCGGAGTTGGGGTACACGCAAATCGCGTCGGGACCTCGCTGCTCCCTGCGGGGGGAGCTGCTGACTGCGCAACTGTCGGCACTTTCGTGGGCTCCTGGGAGGCCCAGCGGAGTTGGGGTACACGCGGATCGCGTCGGGACCTCGCGGCTCCCTGCGGGGGGAGCTGCTGACTGCGCAACTGTCGGCACTTTCGTGGGCTCCTGGGAGGCCCAGCGGAGTTGGGGTACACGCAGATCGCGTCGGGACCTCGCGGCTCCCTGCGGGGGGAGCTGCCAACTGCGCAACTGTCGGCACTTTCGTGGGCTCCTGGGAGGCCCAGCGGAGTGGGGGGACACGCGGATCGCGTCGAGACCTCGCGGCTCCCTGCGGGGGGAGCTGCCAACTGCGCAACTGTCGGTCCCTTCGTGGGCTCCTGGGCCCAGCGGAGTGGGGTTACACGCGGATCGCGTCGGGACCTTGCGGCTCCCTGCGGGGGGAGCTGCCAACTGCGCTACTGTCGGCACTTTCGTGGGCTCC